AGTAAGTACATTCTTCGCTTTCCAGGAGGTGGAAGGGCCTCGTGCTGCCAGCGGGCTCCTCTTCCCTGGTGGGCTCACCTGACACTGAAACCCACCAGGCTCAGCCGCCTCTTCCTTTCCATCCCACCCCAGATCTCCGTCAGTGCCGAGCACGCATCTCTACAGTAACTGGACCACTAGAGGATTCCAGGTTTTCATCCATAATTCCTTCACATTCACCATTTCTATCTAATCTTTGAGTTTTCTCACCAGCGTGGCATCTCGGTACAGGCGACGTCTCGACTTCTTACCTTTTTTCCTTTGAAGTAGCCCGCAATGTCACCCCACATCACGAGGTTGCAGAGCAAGGAGAACGGGGTCAGCAGACCCCATAGCATGAGCAGCTGGCCTTGGGCCCTGAAACGCGTGTCCCACCTTGTGATGGAATAGGGCCCGCTGGGCTCCGGCAGAAGGGGAGCTCTGGCGGAGAGAGCAAGGTAGGGCAAGCCAGCGTCAGTGTAGGTGGGGGACGGGCTTCCCGGCCAGACCCACTGATGTGCCCACTTGGGAGATGCCCGCTCCTCTGACTACTTAATAGCTGCTGTCCATGGGCCCAAAGATCTGTGAGGTGCCCCTCGGGTGGGAGAGGGGAGGCAGAGAAAGACTAAAACATCTGCATCTGTGTTACCTGATGTGTCCAAGCAGCATCTGGCTGAAAGCTGTGCCTGGCCACCCTTGGAACTCTCCTGCCACTCTCCCACCTCCTGTGGTCTCCCACCAGCCATGCCATGGCCTTCTCCGGGCCCGGGCCTGTGTCACACTGTGAGGACTGTGAACAACGAATACAGTCCTCACTCTCAGAATCCCAGTCCAGTGGGGATGTGTGGGCGGATGATTCCAGCCCAGGGACAGACTGGTGATGATTGTGATGGAGGTGGGCACAGCATCTGAGGGAACATGGAGGGTGGTCCCAGTACTAGCCCTGGGAGCGGGTGGAAGGCTTCTCAGAGAGGCGGAGGCCAGGGCTAGCTTCTGAGCTGGACGAGAGGTCAGACAGACACTGAGTGAACAGGAAAATATCAGAGGTACGTCCTCAATGGGCACATTACTCATACATAGAGCCCTCTTTGCTGGTTCCCAGCTGGGTCTGCAGGTTGGCGAAATGGGTTCTGGGATTGCATCAGAATCGTGGGACCCTCCAACCCGCCATAGAGTCTAACCTGCTAGGTTTGTGTTGCGGCTCCAGAATTTGTTCATTTAAGTCTCTAACAGAGTACGCAGTAGGTGTCAGGTTATTTAATTCTGGTAACATTTCCCTGAAAGTCAGGGAACTACTCTGCCCCATTAAAACCATTGGCGTGGATCAGCCAATCCCAGGAGTCAGAGTTATTCAGTCCCAGGAATAGCACGACTGCACCCCGACTGGTTGGCCAAATGCTTTCTGCTGCTCTCTGCTACAAAATTTTGATGGATGATGCTTCTTTAGCCTGGGCCGAGATTTAATTTGTGTTGCAATGGAACACTTTCAATTGTCAATGACAAAAGGCGATATTTCCAATACTCCTTGAGAATCGACTTCAAAGGTTTCGGCTCATTTTTTTAAAAGCGTTTCAGCTTTATTTTGACATGGTAGAAAAGTTTTGCATGCATCCTCACATCCACTGTTGTGACAGCTGCATTTAATGAGTGCAAAATGATCAGAAAAACATCGTTTGCTGTGGGTTGCCAGTTGGTGACAGGGGAGAGGTGATGCTGTAATCGGAGCAGTAAAGTCATGCACACATCTGCGGAGGATGAAGTCTGCCAGTCTGGTTTATACCAGGCCACTCAATGAATGGCCTGGAAACCAAAAAAGACCTACAGACTCCTATCCCATGGACCCCACCCTCAAACAGCTGGGTAAAGATGGTATAGGACAGCTTCAGTCTGCTTCTGCTGGAAGGTCATCCAAAGTCAAGTTTTTCTAAGTCTTCCACATACCTGTCTTACTGAGAGAAGATCTTTCTAGCTAATCTAGCATACTTATACTTAACAAACCCAGGAGAAAACAAATAAAAAAGGCAAATTTTAAATAACTCATGTATAAAGGCCTAGATCATAAAATAAAGGACTTACTTTAAATATAGTCAGGGTAGATTAAATTATTCTTCAACAAATATTCATTGACACCCCCACCCCCCGACCCCCCAACACGTACACACACTAGCCTCCATAGGAACAGTTTAGTTTCTTACCACACTGGGGTTGAGCTTGAGCATGGGGCATTCTTTGGCCAGTGAAAGGTGGGCAGACATGGCCATATGTCAATTTGGGGCCTCAGACAAAAGGTATTGCCTGTTTACAGTCCTCCTCTAAAACCATGAGCTGGATAGCTCTGTGACCTCAGGTGATGCTTGCAGAATGAGAGACAGGTGAACAGACCTGAACTCCAGCTGCAGCTTAAAGCAGAGTTGTCCCAACTGGCCCATGTGCCCTCAGAGCATACTCAGAGAGTTGTCTAGCCGAACCCAGCCTAGATCAGCCAGGCCACAGCTGACCTGCAGCCCAGGAAGCAAGAACAGAGATGACAGTTCATTTAAATCACTGAGATTTGAGGTTGTTTGTTATTCAGCATCCTTGTGCTGTTTCCTAAGCTTTTATAGAGATCGCCAACAATGTATGCCTGATTATGTGACAGAGAAATTATTCCAGCTGCGCTAAATGCCTACAGCTCCGTCAGTGTGGTATGACGGTGCTGTGGACTGAATATTTGTGTCCCCCTCAAATTTGTATGTTGAAGGCCTAACCCTCAATGTTATGGTTTCTGGAGGTGGGGCCATTGGTACGTGATTAGGGTGAAGTTAGGTCATGAAGGTGGGGCCCTCATGATAAGAGATTAATGCTCTTATAAAAAGAAGAGGCCCAAAATCTCTCTCTCTCTCTCTCTCTCTCTCTCTCAGCCAGGTGAGGAAACAGAGAAAAGGTGGCCACCTGCAAACCAGGAAGAGGGCCCTCACCAGGAACCCTGATTGGCCAGCACCCTGACCTTGGACTTCCCAGCCTACAAAACTGTGAGAAATGAGTTGGTGTTTAAGCCACCCAGTCTATGGCACCTGTTACAGCAGCCTGAGCTGTGACAGAGGGAAAGCAGATGGAGCTTTGTCAGGACAATCACCCTGTGCATACAAGGCAAGACAAGTCGCAATGCCATGCTGAACGACGCATTTCACCTTTTGGTGTCATTTTGGGGTCATGGAGTCATACTTCAAATTCATGGGGGTGCAGCTTCTGGAAGATTTCGAAGGCAGCTCCTTGGTCTCAATATTCTGTATTGGTTGTTACCTCCTCACGTCTTACGGGTGAAAACTAAAAGTAGCTCCCCAACCTCCATCCCTTCTCCTTGAGTCTCTCCTTTATTTCCACGTGGCTCCGTTTCCAATCTTCTAGCTTTCCTCAATCATGGGAGGACCGCAGAAATAAACTGTCACACTGAACCATAATGACAATTTACTCTTGAGGGAAGAATCCTGTGGGTGTCTAAAAAACTTACTCTAAGTTATATTTGCTTAATTTATGCTTCCACTGATGAATAATTAGGGCAGCGATTAATTTTAAAATGCAAATGTGCAATGGGTCTTACTGTTTTGTTTTGTTTTGTTTTAAACATCCTTTGTCCTGCGTTCTACTTGTGTTAGAGTCTTAATGGATTTAGTTTAGCAAAGGAATGAAATTATTTTTTCTAATGCTTTATTTACTTGATTGAATCAGACTTTTTATCAAATATTGACTGCAAATATTTGTTCAAGATCATATGCCGTAGAATTTAATAGAAATAAAAACCTGTACTACAGAACCATCATTTTTTACGTGTCCTGTGGGTGATCTATCTGAATGATGCATCAGTGACAGTCAGAAGAGGTTTCTAGCCATGTGCCTGTCTCTTTGAACTGGTTGTTGTTTTCTAGTTACACGAAAAATTCCTTATTATCTCTAAAAATGTCACATAGTTGTTTTCTGAGAAGCGAAAATTTTCCGACTATAAAAAACAAGTCATGGGCCGGCCCGGTGGCGCACTGGATAGTGCGCCACTTGGGAAGCGCGGCAGCGCTCCCGTCCGAGGGTTCGGATCCCACATACAGACCGGTTCCCGCTCACTGGCTGAGCGAGGCGCGGGAGCAACATCGAGGCTTGCGATCCCGTTGCCGGTCCCCGGTCCGGTACGGGGGCAACACTGAGGGTTGCGATCCGTTGCCGGACACGGAAAAAAAAAGACAAAAAGACAAAAAAAAAAAAAAAAAAAAAAAAAGTAAAATTAGT